TGTTATTGTTTCTCGTTATGATGATGAAAATTGATCAATCGAACATGAATTTCAACGAAAGAATTGAATGCGAAATGAATGAAATGGATTCTAGAATAATCGAAACAGAAAACAGATACAAGAAGAATCGAAAGAGAATGACGAAAAAGGAAGATAACACAAGCAAGAAAGAAGATTACGAAGAAACTGCTACTGCTATGAATTAGCAAGTAGAACTTCTAGCAAGCAGCGGAAACAGAGCAGGTCGAACCTGCTCTGATACCATCTAAGCAATCACAAACTCTATTGATGAAGAGCTTTAACAACCAAAGGAAAGAAAAAGAATAGAAATGAAGATGATAGTTTTATTCATTGTATGTTGAAATCAGTTACAAACAATTTATATACTACAACTCAATGTAACTAACTTAACAAACTAAAAATAGAACCAATACTAATATGACATGTATCACTGCAAGTTGAATATATTGATCATGTGCATATCTTATCTTCATTATTTGTTATTATAGGAGCTTGAGACGGAGTTAAGGGTGAGTTTGGATCGGAAATCTGGTTGGTGATTGCAGGTTTTGTATGGTGGTGCACGAAGAGTTGAAGTATGGATTATGAGTTCGGTTTGCTTCGAGGCGTTACGGTTGTTGTGGTTGGAGGTTGATCGTGTATGAAAGAAGAAGATGATGGTGGCACTAGAACGAGGGGGAGGTTTGTTCTGTTACAGAGAGGGGCTGGACTGGTAGTGTTATGTGGAGAGAAGAAGTATGTGAGTTGATCGAAAATGGTGTGAAGGTAATGTTGTGAAGAATATGAAGGTGAGCATGTTCTTCAGCTTTTCGCTTTTTGGCATTTTTTTAAATATATTTTGATCTGATTGTCAATTGGTTATAAGAGAGAGAAGACAAAATGGGGTGCGGTTGCAAATGGTTATTCCTTTTCTACTTTTCAACTCACACATACTGTGGTTTTATTTTTCAATTAATGCCCATTTCACCCTTGGTTTGATTTATTATTACTTGAAAATTAAAGTTAAAATCAAACTAAAACTGAAAAATGTTTTTTTTTTTTTCAATTAAGATAAGAAATTGAAACGGATCGAAACAAATAAAATTCAAACGTAGTCAAAAAATAAACATACCAACGCGACCTATGTGTAATGTAGTTTAGTAAAAATCTTTGGTAACGATCGAAATTATAATTAAAAAAACTCAGATAAAAGGCTCTATATATATAATGTGAACGCACGCGAACTCATAAAACTAAAACGAGCGCACCAAATTACCTACATGCAGCGTAGTTCCGTAAAAGTGTTTGGTAAAGTTCAAAACTCAATATTTTGTCTGCTAATTTCCCACGCGATGACAAATCACTTTTACCGATTTGCCTGTAGAATCGAACTTTTATTCTGTTGACCTTTGGTCGACTACACACAATGCATGAAGCGGTGAAAATGCATGATATGCGATTAAATCACTTTTTGAATTTTAAACAGAATGAAAGTTGACCTTATGTTGACTTTTGACTGAACTGATGTGTGAATGACTGAATCGATGATGCAAATGCCTTGATGAATGAATGGCTCGGAGTAAAATTGGGATATGACAGATGTCCTTATTTGAATATTTTTAACCGGAGGGTGTGAAAGATGTTAGTCTTCATATAATCATGGTAGAAGATATTTAAATACAAAAACAAACTCGAATTTTGTCCCTTCATGCAATGAGATGCTATGATATGCTTATGAGATTATGAAAATGCTTTTGCTGGAGATATAATAGGTCAATATCAACTCGGGTGTTAATACTTCTTCAACAACTGATTTTGGACGATCATGTTCAACCGCTTCTCATTGAAGATAGATCTCTGAAGAAATAAGTGATCGTATTCGACCGCTTACACTGAAGGTAGATCCACTGGAGATTGAAACCTTTTTGGAGAATCATATTCAGCCGCTTCTCACTAAATATAGACTTTTCTAGTGATTACAAGATCATATTCAATCGTTCCTCACAATACTCATACTTTTTCATTTCATTTGAGAATTTCTTTTTCCCATTGGCCAGTAGTTGGTTTTAGATATTCAAATTCTTTACTAACCCCGAGTTTTATTGAGGGATGTTAGCCTAGGAGCACTCTCGTCTTCTAAAGTTTTTACTTTGAGAGTAAAGATCGAAACTTCTTAATATAAATTTTTCTCTATCGAAATATCATCTTCAGTTGTAAACATGAAGTTATTCAAAGACATGAGTCCCGCCACATAAGATACACATTCAATCATGGTTATCTAATGGCTATACGGTTGCAGCTTAACGACTTTGTCCACATTACTGTCGAGAAGCAACATTTAAAAGAGACGGGGAAATAGGGAAGGGTTATTTCTATAACAAGAAGAAGTTGCCTCGTCTCCGCCTTGGAGAACTTCTCTTTCTGTTAGAGAAGTTGGGTTTTTTTTCCTTGACATACTAGAAGATACATTGGCTTTTGGAAAATGTGTTGGATTGATGATGACATCACTAAAAAGGAATGCACGGTTTCAATAAAGGGAAGCATGGGTTCAGTAGGAATAGTCATATAGACAATAACAATTTTTCTATTTTGAAAATTTTCTAAAGGTTCTCCTCTGGCTGAGTGTCTGCACATCAAACAAAAATTAGTAGGGCAATTGAATTAAGTTAAAAGCAAAGGGAAAAGACATATTACATGTCAAGCATAATTACGTCATTATCAAAACTTGAGGGCATGCCAAGGTCGGGTATCAATACACAATTCCTTGGTGTTGACTTCCATCAGGTTTTCTTATCCACATAGGTGGATATATCGAAAGGACAGACATAGTCTCAAGTTTGGGTCACATTTCCCTTCTCAGATTCATTCATAATTGTTTCATCCCACGTCATTTGTTATTGATCCATTTGAAAACGATACGAGGACCAACAACGAGAAAAATGTTGTTGACAAAATTATACATGTTCGTCAAGGATCATTGCAAAAACATGAGTGCAAACATTTTTGTGGGTCACATCATTTAGTGGCGAGATTATGACATGCTCTAAACTTGGATTTCTTAAGGAATTTGGTGAAGAAGTCAAAGAGGGACAATTGTTTGAAGGAGATAATCCCTTGAGGGTCGTTACGGTTAAAGGCCTCTTGGACCAACGAGAAGATGTTAAAGAATGCATGCACTATCTTTAGCATTTGTAAGTACTAGCGTACTTCCTAGAAGGTATGGATAAAGGCCCAACAAATTAGGTAAAGCGTGGAGGGGCTATACTAAGATGGCACAAGATCTCCTTCTCAAACATTGAAAATGGAAAGTGAAAACCAGTCTTCCTAAAAACAAAGTATGTGTTTCAAATCCTATAAGAAGTAAAAGGGGTATTTACGACCCAGTCTACCAGGATGTTCGCGTTTGTGAACATTTAATAGGAGGTTGAGTCGACCGGCTCATAGTAAACAAAAGGGTTATCAAGATACTCCTTATTTACGCAACTATATCCCAAGTTTATCATTGGATCCGTGATTAACCCATCAAGAAGATACTTGACTGTCTCGTGCAACTTACATCTATCACAAACAAAAAGAGTGAGTCAAAGAAAAAGCTTTGATAATCCACCTTTTCATTTCGCATGAAAGAGTAGAAGAATACAATATTTTTCTCTCCATTTTCAAACCTAGAGGATTATTTAAAGGATAGTTTGTAAAGGTTATATACATTCACTTCATTTTAAAGATCCTCTATAATGAATAAAACATGAGGGGAAAGCAACACATGGGGGGACATTATATCACCGGAGATGAATTTCCATCAACGACAACAGTCTCCACTTAGAGAAAACGAAATAAGGGAGAGACAACACTTGAGAGGCAGGGACGGTTTTATAGTCCAACAAACTCACACACACGTCCAGACTTAACCCCTACTTTCTTTATATTCCCTTCAACTTAATAGCTGATTTTTAGACAAAATCAAAGACAAAATTATTTAAAATAGGGTGTGATAACTAAAATAGATGAATAACCAATGGTCCAGCTCTAGCCCAATTCATATGTAACTTGCAGTTAAATTTTTTGCCTAGCCTACCTAAAATTCCTGACTCCACCTCTATTGGGAGGGATCTTCTCCACCCATACCAACGGAGTCTTGACTCAGAGAGAAGACACACTTATACATTTAAAATATTCATAAAATAATAAGCCAAAGCTAAAGATGACGAAGAAAACTTAAAAGCTTACTAATAAATGAACACAAGGTTGTTTTGAGACAAAGCCGGAAGAGACAAAGTCATTAGTTTTATGACCTCTAATCCTGAAAGCCTGCTTTAAAGGCTAAAGAACAATTTGACCTCATGCACGCATTATCATAAAATCCTAAACCTTACACTTCCATCCGCAAATGATTGGATTGTCATAGTGTTTGCAAGAACCCACCATCAAACACACTACAAACAACTTTGTCCGTTTAATAAAACTATTATTAGACGGTTCATATTGGACAAACCCGTCAATGGGAACTTAAACCATAGACGATGACTAGGGACGGTGCCAAAATGACTAGGATCATGAAATTCTTAACTTAAATTTGAAAGTATAGCTCATAGAAGCAAGCTTTTCCTTATTTCCTATTCATTAGAAAGAGCCAAACACTCCCCGAGTACAAACTCCATAGATGTCCTGGCATGTCCTTTGCAGTTTGCTTGCACAAAATAACCATGCTATTTTAAACTCATAGGGTAAAAGCACTGTCAAGAATCGGCCAAATAGTGCGGGCAAAACATTACCTAATGTAAGATGTAACGATGATACAGATGAACAAACCTTCTTAGTAGTTGAATACTAACTTGTTGATAAAGATTCACTGTGCAAAATATAAAAACTCAAGAATCTAGCTTATTTCAGGCAGCAAAAAAAATTCAGAATGCCAGGAGACTTCGCAAGAAAAACTACATCCTTAAATCGATCATTTTTATACTTGAAAATTATTGAGAACCATAAACAGATTAACCAGCTCAGTTTCTGCCAGGCTCCAAACTCATCTCCTGAAGATTCAGCAAAAGATCATCTGAATTCAGGTAAACCTTGTTTGCTGCATTTGATATAGTATGTGCAATCTCTCTTGCAGCTTCAATCTTCCTAAGTGTGATGAAAGCTGGATTGTTGGAAATGGCTTGTCCAATCAGTTGGGCACTTTTAGCCTCACCCTGTTGATTAGTAAGAAAGGTCAGGGGGATAGATAGAATAGCAACCAACACTTTCTGATTGTAATATGCTTTGAAAATATAAAAATAGCAGAAACTTGTACCAAGCACCACAGCAGTAACTGCATAAGTATTAACAGTTTCTTCTTACCTGTGCTCTGATTACAGCACTTCTTTTATCTTGCTCAGCTTTTTCCACAACAAATTTCGCCCTCTCAGCTTCTTGTGCAGCCACCTGCTTGGCTTCAATTGCAGCAGTAAACTCCTTGCCAAAGGTTAGAGTAGTAATTGACACATCATCAAGAGCAATATTGAAGTTGGCTGCCCTCTCAGTCAGGACCTTTCGGATTTCACGACTAACAGCCTACAAAGAATAGGTCAGTAAAACAGATACTTCTTTGTTGATAATTGAAATTTACGGTAATGTAAATAAAACAAACAAAACAATGGTGTACTTCCCCAGTTCACATGAGATTAAAACAACAAACAACTATTAAGTTTTAATTTTAATTTTATAAAACTAACTGTATGTGCAAATGGATAATGGCAAATGAACTTATTTATAATACTTTAAAGCACAAATCATGTGTATGTATCCGCTGGGCTTCTAACAAATATAGAAACAAAATTATTTAACATGACTCGCAAAAGAAAATAGACAGCTCAGTAATTAGCAACTCTGTTCATATAATAACTTGAGGTTTCATGATTCACGATAACAAGCTTTTCTCCTTACCTCTCGCTGAGTAATAAGCTGGCTGGCATTGTACTGGGCAACAACAGCTTTCAAAGTTTCATGTATGATTGAAGGTAAAACCCTTTCATTATAATTCTCACCAAGGGTCCGATAAACTGTAGGTAACTGGCTAGGCAAGGGACGCGTAAGAACTCGAAGCCCAATTTTCACCTGTAAAGTGAGTATATGCAATTTAAAGAAAAGATCAATATCTCACGTGTTTAAATTTACAAAAACATTTATAGTGGACTAGTCTATAAACATGAAGTACTGGAAAATCGTTTCATCATTCATGACACCAAACACCTTTTCAACCTATAAAATATTAATTAAAACTTCTAACATTGCTATCCAGATAAATTATAAGAGGTATAAAATTAAGGCATCAAACAACCTTGGGCAAGTGGGAGAAAGGACATTTAGCAGATATTGTGAGAAAGTATGGATTCCAATACAGAGGCTAAACATGAAAAGGCAACTAGTAGCTCAGAATATGAGATTTTGATGAGGCATTTACGTTCCGATACCAGAGCACAGGATTGAAATGTCTACAATCGATGAGAAAAATCAAAATACCACCAGATTTTATTACATCACTAATCATTAAAATCTTACCATTTGAAAACATGATATATCCAAAATGGCCATTTAATGCAAAAACAAATAGCCCACTAGCAGTTGTTCAAAACTTTAACAAAGCTATTGCAAATGGGAATCGCCTAAACAAGTATAAACATTCCTACGTATAAAAGGATGCTAAGATAGAAGCTCTCTTAAATGCTTATTCAATAAACACTTGTCATTAAAGAGTTTATGTAAAAGCTACTTCTACAACGGGTGCGATAAAGAAAGTATACTCATTATAAACTACGTAAAATCTACATCTATAAGCTCTTCCAAACAAATTCATATGAAATTGTGAGTACACTTTCTAAAATCAGGATCCAGTCTATTTCTGTTTTACATTAATGGAAATTGTGTCACTGGTTAAACACTCAAACATAATGGAACAGATAGATGATTCAGAACTTTACTTCATTAACTAGCACAGAATGATGTCCTGACAGGTAAACCATCACAAAGAAAGGAGGCGGAAAAAGAGGAAAGCAAATGCTAAAAGAATGCTTAATTCTTCCTAAGAAAACTTATTCCGTCAATCACGATTCACAAATGAATTAAACAGTAATTGTAAAGAATCAATGATAAGAAATTTCAATTCCAGGAGTGGTATTAATTATTTATTTACCATCTGGAGATCACGACTCCCAGACGTACTCTCGACTAGATGGGGACGCGCACGGACATCATAAATGACTGGCCTCTCAAACCACGGAATTACAAAATGTGTTCCTTCAGGATAAACCTGCACATCAAGTAAGATACCAATTTAATTTCCAGCAAGAAAACATAACTTCGAGTTACAATCACAATAGAAGCACTATAACCACTCTTTCAACTAACCTTGTCTTTGACACCAATAAGACGGTTGAAAACAATAGCTCGATGACCTCCTTCAACATTGTAAAGACTGTTAGCAGCAGCATACAAACCAATTCCACCAATAACTCCCAATTTCATCAGCGCAGAGGAAGCACCGCCGCCAAGAACGTTCATTTTCTTCATATTCATTTATCGTTTCTTCACTAAACACAAATTGCAATCGAACAATTACATTAGCTGAAAATTAGACAGCAATTGCAAACAGCTTAATTTATAGTTTCAGATTTTGCGCAATGAATGAACCGAAAACAAGAAAGATAATCAGCTACACAAACTTTCACACAACATGCAGAGCACGCCGATGGAGAAAATGTAATAGATTTCACCGATTTTTTACAATGATTCGAACAAGAATAGAATTGAAATATCAAGTTGATTGAAAAAAATAGAATCGAAGTTAGTTGAATTTTTAACCTAGAAGATTTGGGAAATTGAAGAAATGGAAGGGAACGTACCTTGGGAATTTCGATCAACGATGAGATGAAAGAAATGCGGTTATGGGGTTTAAGCAAAATTTCAGTAGGGGTTTAAACTTTCCGAACAAGAAAACCAATTGATTCGGTCTTTGGTAAAAAGGAAATGAAAATTTTAATGGGCCTATTCATTCGGTGACCCAATATAAAATGAAGGGCATTACTTTAAGAAATTAACTTGTGAATCTCATATTATAGATAACACCTCCCAGACACGGCACATTTATGAAACTGTCTTTAAAATATATCGAAATTTTTTAATTTTTCAGTTTCGCACCAGAAATTTCATGCAAATATCAGAAATTTCATTAAATTTCCAAGTTATTACCGTGTCATATGAACGTAATCGGAAATTTCAAAATTTCTGATAAACTGGGACTTCTTTTTTTTTTTTTAACTATTACTTAAATAAAATACACTGTGAAATAGTGAACCGACTTAATATATAAATAGAATAAATGTCATATATAATTACATTAAAAAACTATAATCACGACCTAGACAATTCTTCTCAGTGCCAGAAGCGACCCACGTGTGCTGATTCACATGATTTTGTATCATTAGAACAATTCTCCCTGCAACGTTTAGTGACGGGAGGCAGTAGACTATCAGGTTTTAACTTTACCTGAATCCAATAATTTTCATTGACAAAACCAACAACAATGATTGTACGTCGACTCGTGTACGGGGGTGGAGTTATGAGAAATGGGAAAATGTTATGATAAGTCTCATGGAAAGGGAAACAAATACGATACTATATCTAGAATCAATAGGATAACTCATATCAGGAATCAACATTCATTTCTCTCTATCCTAGACACTCAAGTGTTTTACTTGTAACGAAGTCCTAACAACAGAGATAGTGTCATAGAACAACTTAGAAAACAAGTCAACATGTTGATGGACTTGAGTATCCAATTGCTTTTGAACTGAATGACATGCATCTTTCCTCCATCCTAATGAAGATGAAATACAACGGAAACCATAGTTTTCATCATTATCAACATCAATAATATCATCGATATATGGATGAAAGAAACCAAGAAATTGTGACAAGTACTCAGCTCTTGTAGATTTGGTAGAAGGTTGCTTAGCAATCAACATGGTTGACGATTGACTTCCACTTGGTTATGTGCATGATCTCTTCGTAGTATGACTCCCCAGCGAAGCATCAATATATTTCCACTAACTAGGATCACGATGCACATCACTCTCCTCACCCTTTCTACTATTCTTAACTCCCCTCTTTGACTTGTATTTCACCGGCGGTGGACACATTAAAGTTGTGGATAGATAGGTTAGATCACAAACTTTTTTCTTTAGCACTCGCTGACCCACAATATCCAAAGTACTAAAATATCTCTTCAACCCTTCACACTCTTCTTCTAAATCTCACTTACTCTCATCATGATTCATATCATGTTCTGAAATATGCAATTTCGTCCAAAATACATGAATTAATTCCAAAGGTATATGAGTGCCTAGAATTTGGAAACTGGCAAGCTGACACGCACACGGTAATCCATGTGTTGTTCTAGTGTAACAACCACACCTCTCCTTGCTTGCACCAACAAATTTTACTCTTTCTAGTTCCCTTCCAATGAGTTGTATACATTGTCTTGAAACAAAAATGTGCAATTTAGAATAGAATGAGGTGTTATACCGATGCTCAATATTGACGATACTTTTTTGAAAAGACACTATGATGGAACCTAGCTGCAACTTTAATATTGTATTTACAGCATTCCAACTTCGAAATAAATCACCACGACTTGTAGTCAACAAGTTCTTTAGTCTCCAATGTGCAGACTCTACCCTAGAAATCATGAACATATCGAAATCCATAGAAGAAGTTGAAGGTGTCGATTCATGATCGCAAAGATATAAAACTTCATTTGCAGACATACCACAATTTTCAAGTATAAGTGAAATTTCTTGTACACCGGAAATTCAATATTCCCAGTAAAGGTTTTCTACCGGAAATTTACCAAATTTCCGGTACGTGTAATGACTTTTGTAAAATTTACGAAAATTTTAAAATTTCTGATAAATCGCAATCAAAATTTTTGAAATTTCCTGTAAATGGAAACCGAAAATTTGTAGAATGTACAAAATTTCCGGTATGCGACAAAACTCAGTATCAAAAATTTGCTAAGAGTACTGGAAAATTTGATTTTTATCTCCTTCGACCAATAGTAATTTTTTTATAAAATTAAAAAAATTTAGAGTAAATAGTGAAAGGGGGATTTTAGGAATAATGAAATTTGGGGGGTGGCATGTACAATATAGGGGTGATATGTTAATTTGTCCATTACTTTTGGCACGGGTGCATGAAAAACTAATAATGTTCTTAAAATTTGGAATTTAATCTTTGAACATGTCAAAATGCAATCGAAGTCAAGTCTCATATGCATGTCAAAGATGAAACTATCTGGAGGTTAAGTTCTATGATTTTTATGAAAGTTAACTTTTAGAACTATCGTTGTTATTCTACACCAGAAACAATTGCAGAAACGAAAAGAACAATATAAATTTATATAAGTATTTGTTAAGACATACATAAAATATGTAACATTACATAGATTTTCTTTGACGTAAATCTAACTTTATATTTTATCATCAATAGATGATTGAGGATGTTTCAACATCTTTAAAATATCGTCAATTGATCTCATAATTGTCACATCGATCTCGATCGGACCCTTTATTTCGTAATAGTGAAATATACTCCATATAACCGTTAAATTCCCATTCTTCTTCAACTCAAACTTGTTGAGTTGTATTTTTCCTTCGTTGTCAATTGAGGGTGAATGGTAGTGGAACTTCAGTTTACAACTCTTTAATTAAGGATGAACGATAATTGAGGATGAATTGTCTTTACAAATAATTTTTTTTTATTAACATATAAAATTTTACATCAAATATTTCTATAATTAATATTGAACACACATTAAAAAGTATCAAAATGTATCCATATTACATCATCGACAATAACAATTCAATATTACGTATAAAAAATAATATTTTAACCTAAATACATTATTAGATAAAAACTAAAATCCATTAAGATATATGTCTCCACCTAAATATATATATCTCTCTCTCTCTCTCTATATATATATATATGTGTGTGTGTGTGTGTGTGTGTGTGTGTGTGTGTGTGTGTGTGTGTGTGTGTGTGTGTGTGTGTGTGTGTGTGTGTGTGTGTGTGTGTGTGTGTGTGTGTGTGTGTGTGTGTGTGTGTGTGTGTGTGTGTGTGTGTGTGTGTGTGTGTGTGTGTGTGTGTGTGTGTGTGTGTGTGTGTGTGTGTGTGTGTGTGTGTGTGTGTGTGTGTGTGTGTGTGTGTGTGTGTGTGTGTGTGTGTGTGTGTGTGTGTGTGTGTGTGTGTGTGTGTGTGTGTGTGTGTGTGTGTGTGTGTGTGTGTGTGTGTGTGTGTGTGTGTGTGTGTGTGTGTGTGTGTGTGTGTGTGTGTGTGTGTGTGTGTGTGTGTGTGTGTGTGTGTGTGTGTGTGTGTGTGTGTGTGTGTGTGTGTGTGTGTGTGTGTGTGTGTGTGTGTGTGTGTGTGTGTGTGTGTGTGTGTGTGTGTGTGTGTGTGTGTGTGTGTGTGTGTGTGTGTGTGTGTGTGTGTGTGTGTGTGTGTGTGTGTGTGTGTGTGTGTGTAGGGGTGTGGGGGGGGGGGGGGTTTCCACCTTTGAATTTTTCTTATTTGATTCTCTCTTAATCTCGCTCAACTTGGTGAATTCTTATTTCTTATCCAAAAACGTTATTCCGACAAGTTTCAGTTTCCTTTGTGGGATGAGTTGTTCACTCCGGTGATGTTTGTGGTATATGACATCACAATTTCAAATAAATTTGAAGAAAATGTAGTGATTTTGAAAGTCATTCAATACATATAATGCATCCAGTTGGATTTTAAGGTAGACTACTCCAAAGTGAAAAATATTTCTGATAATCTATATCTTATTGGATCAATACTCACCATATTATATGCATTTGTTATAAGATGTTTCTGACAATCCATTTCAAGGAAGCGCACCCATTTTTCCTCCAAAGTCAGACCGCTAACACAAGGAATAAGAGATTCATGAATTGCATCAAAATGTTCTTTTTCCTGTATAGAGTTCTATTGATTCCTTATGTGCCTTCAACTCTTTGATAAGTTATTGGTGGACAAGTGTATAATTCTCCTCTCTTATACTGAGCAAAGTTGAAACAACACGATAAATGTGGTTATCATCACCCTTAACATCTATAATTCATTCAATGTATTTGTGCATAAAAATTGGCATCTATTCAACATGTTTAATTTTTAATAAAGGTGGTGAAGGATATTGTTTACTAATATGAACACCTTTGAAAACACTTTTGAGATTTTGAAGTTAGAGAATTTGAAAAAATGTGTGTTAACATGTTCGAAATAGGAAGGAGGCTACTTCGTTGAGTTGTCACTATGTTTTGTATTGACCTTCTTAGGAGCACCCTTTATTTTTATTGGTTCCAATGGAGTTTTCAAATCTATGGTTTCTTGATACGAAATATTCCTCAATTGCTCTTTGATGTGCAATTTCATGTTGTCATCAAATTTCAAATATTTCTCTTGGATCACTTCTCATTTGTTCATGATAAATATATATTATTTATCATCATTCATCATAC